AGCCGTGGCTGTCCAGAAATGGTCACTTCAAAATTTGTCACTCCATTTATAATCTTTTTTTTTTCTTTTTTTTTCAGATAATCTAATCTAATTTCTGAGGAAACCACTCCCCCTTTCTACGGTTTCAAACTATTTTATTAATGAAAAGAATGTTTGAACGTGAATAGAAGGAATCTTTTTCCTCACAAAGGCGAACATTTTCTTCCAGTTTAACAAACTTCAACAATTCTGTTGGGGTGTGGACTCTTAACTTGGAAACAAACTCCTTCCAGCAATAGGCCAATGATTCTGCAGCTGTGTAAGAATTCTGGTTATGAAAGTGTCGCCTGTAGTGATAGTTTCTGTTTGAGAGACATAAACATTTATTAGCAGTCTGAAAATATTTGACATCTTTCAGGACAACCAGCAACACGGCGTTCCTGCAATTTTGCTAATAGATTTAATACTTTTTGAACAAGTAAGTCAACAATTTTTTTCCACTTATAATTAATGAAATAACATTAAGTTAATGTTTTTAGGAGACTTGAATGTTAAAGGAAAGAATTTTACAAAAACTAATAAAACGTTTGATTAGTGAATTGAGTTGATGGCAATTTCATTTAAGTAGCAACCTAGACCATTTCTTAAGACATTTACATATCCTGACCACATTTATTTGGAATTAAGGAATTTATATATTAAACAATAAGTTTTCCTCCTCAAAAGATCATGTCAGATTAAGTTAGATTAGGGTTTTGTGAGTTATTTGTTTGGGCTGCCAACTTTAATTTCCTGCCTGGAGTTAGTAAGATTGTATGATTTTATTTTTGAGGATATCTGTTCGTAATGTTGAACAGTATTAGATGAACTTACCATCTAATATTAACTCACTTTATTTCTATTGAACTTTCAACAAACCACAATGGGTACCAAATTGCTGTACATAAAGCAATAAGCACAGGGTTTTCTCTTTTTTTTTTGTCAATTTCTAGTTGCACTTTACAATTTGCTTTAAAATACAATATCTGAACTGTGTCCTTAGATGTAATAACTGTATATTATAAGTGGAATAATTGACTGTAGGCTGCTGAATTAAAAGAAAAGTGGTACTTGATGAACAGAAAAAGTTTATAAATGTCTGCTTTTATAGTTTAATGTAAATGCTGTCTGTATTAGTTTTATATCTGTTGTGTGCTACAGCAGTGGGCAAAAGAAAAGCCTATTTGTCTAATTTTAGCATGTCACACAGTGATTTAAACAATGTTTACTAATCAAAACACAGACAGTTGTGACTGAAATAAGATTTGACTCTGACCAGATAATTTAAGTTATCATTTTCTTAAAAGTTTTGAATAGGAAACTCTTGCACTATGACACAAGGGGTCATCGCCCTGATATATATATATATATATATATATATATATATATATATATATATATATATATATATATATATATATATATATATATAAAGATTGCAAAATTGTAGCCTCGGTTATAGCAAAAATAATTAAAGATGTCTTAATGGGGTGCAACACAGCATGTTTGGTGTGTGACCTGCTTTAGATTTCTACAAAGCTCTTAATTTGTTTAAACAAAAAAATCTTATTTTATTTACTACCATAAACAACACTTTCTAATAAAGTGACTTAAGAATTTTCTAAAAAAATCCCTCTTCACGTTATATTATCCTAAATTATATTTTTGGAAACATTTTACTTGCAGAGGTCTTCAAAAGACATTCATCAAAACCTTTTATAATCATGATGTGGCATCTTAATTAAGGAGATTTTCTGCATGCCATTGTCATTAAGTGTCATATCTCATATGTCATTGTGATTTTTAAATGCAAAGACGACATTGTTTGGAATGAATTACATTATAACTTGTGTTTCTGATGCTCATGACATCTACCAAGACAACATAACTGCTCATGAATAATTGTCATGAGGCTATTATAATTGTCATGAATATGATATCCTTATATTTAGGCTAATGAGTTCTCCTAAACAAAATGAATAAACAAAGCAAGACCGTGGCGAGGAACAAACTGTAGCAATCCATGAAATTTAAAAAATATATATATCTTAAGAAAAAACAGGCTCATTTTTCCTCTGGCCAAACTTCTTGTGCTGAACTGCAGTCTAGAGGAGGCTGGAGAATGCTGGATGTTCATCGTGGAGAAGCTGTTAGTCACCGGCGGGTGTTTAGGTGTGTGTGTGTGTGTGTGTGTGTGTCACCAGTCTGATCTCACGAGAAAACTTTAGTATTTTACGTTTTGCCAGTTTAGTGGTGAATTCGTAGTTCAGTCGTACAAAATTGTATGATTTTAAAAAGGAGGACTGGCACTTAACCCCACCCCTAAACCCAACCATCATCGGGTGATGAGCAAATCACTCTAAAATATATGAATTAGATCATACAAATTCATACGAATTAGCCACTAAATCAAAAAGTTACGAATTGCCATGAGATTGTGTTGGTGTCACTGGGGTTTTCATTACCTTCAGGTCTCATGTCTCAGGAGCACATGTCACTCCGCTGCTAGTCCGTTTGCACTGGCTGCCAGTTGCTGCTCGCATCAAATTCAAAGCTCTGATGTTTGCTTACAAAGCGACTTCTGGCTTTGCTCCTTCTTATCTGCTCTCACTTCTGCAGATCTATGTGCCCTCCAGAAACTTGCGTTCTGTGAATGAACGTCGCCTCGTGGTTCCATCCCAAAGAGGGAAGAAATCACTTTCGTGAACGCTCACGCTCAATATGCCCAGTTGGTGGAATGAACTCCCTAACTGCATCAGAATGGCAGAGTCACTCGCTGTCTTCAAGAAACCACTAAAAACTCAACTATTTAGTCTCCACTTCACTTCCTTATCTGCAATTGCCTCTCTGAATATCACACTAACTGTACAAAAAAAAAAAACACTAATACTACTAATACTTTCCTTCTTAGACTTTACAGACCTGAAACTTGCCTACAGCACTTCTTCATTGTTGCTCTTATTTGTGTAAATTGCTTCCTTGTCCATATTTGTAAGTCGCTTTGGATAAAAGGGTCTGCTAAATGACTAAATGTAAATGTAAAATGTAAATGTACTTAAGCCCATTCCAAATTCTATTTTTGTACCCCTTCCCTTTCCCCTTTTCCTTAGCCCTTAAAAATGAGTGTGAAGGAGAAGGGCTTCAAAATGTACCTCTGAGAATTGGGACAGCACTACAGCACCTGCACACATCACCATATGTCATCCCGATCTCCTGCTTCATATGAGATCAGACGATCGCAACTGCTGTAGTGATTCCAGTCGTGTTGTTTATTGGTATTTATCTTCAGGAAATCACTGAAGGCATATATTATGTTATCATAATGATCTAATGTGGCAATAAGATTATAACTGTACTGTGCATTTACACAGTGGCCATATTCATGTAAACACACCAAAAACAACATTAACATTATAACATACACTGTAAACAGCTCATTCACAGCCGCTAGACATTACTGACAGGGTATTCCAGTGTCAGAGTGTCGGACTGTTGTGGGACCGCTGTACAGGAGTTATAATTAGGGATTATAGAAATTTAGCGACATTTAGCCGCTTTTATTTTATTAATTATTAATTTATTTTTGTTAAATATGAATGCAGTTATGAGTATATTAAAACGTGTTTGTTTGTTGTAAAAGTTTGTTTCGAGTGTGGTCCTGAAAAATCTTTGTTCAAAGGGGTATCTGACCCTTAGCCTTATGCCTTCAGGCTAAAGAGAATTAGGACACCCCCACCCTTTGTGGGAACGCGCAAAACGAGGGGTAGGGGAAAGGGCTAGGGGGTAGAATTGGCAAGCACCTTAGTCTTGGTTTTCTGTTAAGAACTGTTACCTTTAGTTTTCGTATGTCCTGATTCTCGTGTTTTGTTTCTAGCCTTGTTTGTTTAATTTCTTTGCCATGTCTATGACCTTTGCCTGTACAAGGACTATAATTATTGGATCACGCTCATGTTTCTTTTGTTTCTTTTTTTGTGCTTCTTTTAACGCAACAACTGCATTTTCTGTTCTGCTCGAAGGAATTAAAAGAAAATAACAATTCATTCAATGTTTTTTAATTCAGCAGCTAACATGCTGCGAAAATTATCTAAATGCTTTGGTCATTTTTAAAGAGAGATGCTAATGATCTATTTGAGGCAATGATCTATGCTAAGCTAAAAGTGTTCCCACCAGATCTATAGATTGACTGAATGGATCACGTCAAAGAACAAATTTATTTATTTCTTCGGTCAACATTGTAGAATAAATGATTGATACATGAACGTTATTACATGTCCTTTTTTATTATTATACAATCAAGGAATGCAATGACTATTTTTGTCTTCTGAAGAAAGTTCAAAGTTTTTTTTTTTTTTTTTTGGGCTGGAATAAAATTATGAATGTCTTTTCATAAAAAAATTAAGGTCAATATTATTAGCCCCCTTAAGTTTGTTATATTATTTTTCCCCGATGTCTGTGCATGTGTCCTTTTTTGTGTTTCAGTGTGTGATCTGAGGATTGTTATTCTGGGAAAGGATGTTAGAGAAATGCGCAGAACTGGAAACTCAATCCTGAGAGAACATGTGCACCAGGGTGATCCATATATATATTTACTGAGGAACAATGTGATGGAGTGCAGTAGCGTAGTGCGAAACAGACACATAACTGTTCTTATCACTCTTCACCTGCTGAATCCGGACACTACAGATCATCAGATCTCACAGACCGTCAGAGAGTGTGTGAGTCTCTCTGATCCAGGACCTCATGCGTTTATACTCGTCTTACAACACGAAAACCTCACAGAGGCGGACATGAGAAGAATCATATATGTGCTCAAAGCATTCAGTGAAGATGCACCTAAACACACGCTCATCATCATGACTGATGAAGTGAGACAAAAATCTCTCACAGCTCTTTTTCAGCTAGCAAACGCATGCTGTGGTGAATTTTGGCAACCTCTTCTAAGAAAACCAGTTCCATCCAAAGAGATCATTCATAGAGTTGATATGTTGATTAAGGACTCCCCAGAAAACTATGTCACTTGTGAGGTATATGAAGATGCTAAAGAGTTGTCTGGGGAAGAAGAGCAGAGCAGATCTTTGGATTCATCCAGATCTGATGAAGAAAACAAACATTATTCTCACAACAAAGATGATGGAAAATCCAAGCTGAGCAGGAGACAATGTGAAACTTTAAGTAAGTTTTCAGAATGCCTTTTATTCTGTATAGTTGAGAGTGTAGCTATATGGCATAAATATATTTTCAAGAGTTTACACGTAGATATTGCTTGATAATAATAGCAGGTTTGGCATGCTGTCCCAGGAGAGAACCCTGAGCTCGAAGATAATTGAGCACAGGGCTCCCGCCTGGTAAATGAGCATGTAAGGGGGTACGAGATTAGGTAGTCCTCGAGTAAAGGAAGAGATGGGGTGAATGGGGGGGGGGTATAATGGGGGTTTCTTTGGAAAACGAAGATAAGGGAGTAATTTTAGACAGGCTACTTACAGTGAGTTTGGATTAATCTGATTGGCTTACCTATGATTACAGATGAGACCAATCAGATCTGAAATTACTTTGTAAAACTACTGTTAATTCAAATAATGCTTACAACATTTTTTGTAATAATTTTAATTAATGAAGTTTATAACTAATAAACTTCAGTTTTCTTAACTTATATCTAGATAGTAACTCTTGTAGGAATGGGTTTTAACCACAGCGGTTTAAACTGTAGTTCTGCCAAAACACTAAAAAGTGATCAGCATGATGGTAAAGACTGTACATTTCTAGTCAAACCATTCTTCTGCAATCTCATACCAAAAACGTAAATAAGGGCAGTATTAATATCTATAAATGTGGGAGAGTGTTGATATTATGTAATTATATTGTATTGCAATATGGAACAAGAAAGTGTTGATGTTAAATCAAAAGTAATTCACAAATACTTGAACATGAGATGATTTAATGACAATAATTATCTTTGGTTACAACTGAATTAAATACAAAATAACTGAATAAAATGATCAAATATAAAATGATATAAACATATGATATTAATTGTACCCAGCTTAAATGTAAAATTAAAGTTACCAGAGGTAAAAGGAAAGACACTGGGAGAGACAGAGAGAGCTGGCCCAGAATTTAACCTGATTGCAGTATAGTCAGAAAACGATAGACTCCAGTGGAGGAGAGGAGCAGAGCAGGAAAAGACAGATTGAAAAGAGCCCAGAAAAAGACAGAGCAGAGTTTTACACCTAGTTTGTATCTTTCTTGACCATGTGACTAAAGCCCAAATGTTGAGACATTCAAACTGATCAATCAACATATGACCAAATCATAAAGTCCACACACCAGGCCCTGATGTAATGTATTGTAATGTGTATTTATATAGCACATTTATTGTGTATGGCCATACACCCAAAGCGCTTTACAATCATGAGGGGGGGTCTCTCCACACCACCAACCACCACCAGTGTGCAGCTCCACTTGGATGATGCGACAGCTGCCACAGGACAACAGCGCCAGTGCACTCACCACACACCAGCTATTGGTGGAGTGGAGAGACAGTGATAGAGCCAATTCGGTGGAAGGGGATGATTGGGAGGCCATGATTGTAAGGGCCGATAGAGGGACTTTGGCCAGGACACCGGGGTTACACCCCTGCTCTTTCACGAGAAGTGCCATGGGTTTTTCTGACAGAGTCAGGACCTCGGTTTTACGTCTCATCCGAAAGACAGCGCTCACTGACAGTATAGTGTCCCCTTCACTTTTACTGCGGCATTAGGACTCACACAGACCACAGGTTGAGCGCCCCCTGCTGGCCTCTCTAACACCACTTCCAACAGCAACCTAGTGTTCCCTAGTGGTCTCCCATCCAGGAACTGACCAGGCTCAGCCCTGCTTAGCTTCAGTGAGTAACCGGTCTTGGGCTGCAGGGTGACATGGCTGTGGCTAATCTTATCAGTATCTGCCTTTGGAGTCAGTATGGACCTTCTAGAGTCAAAAAGACATTTTTTTTTGTCATATAAACAAAAGCAAATGGTACTTTAGCCTCTTGCACTCTAAATAGTTATTTCTCATTTATCAAAACACGTATCATGAGCCTATTAGATGATTAGCAGATTGAATGTTTGTAGTTTTGTTGCTAAACTAGTGTAATGATGCAGTGTTTTACAACACCTGACTGGTCAATCATGTAATGATAATTTAAACAAAAAAAAAAAAATTAAATGCTGCACAAAGAGATTTAAGCCTAAGTGGAATCTTTAAAGGTGACTGCAATGTCGATTCAATTCAATTGAATCAGAGCTGGCACCCCTGCAGGACCTCTGTTGCTGTTCATACCATAGTGGTCAGCCTTAATACATTCAAGTTTCTTCTGTTGTTGTTTTGGGACCTGAAAGTGCAGTTTCTGCACACTGATTGTCTTTGCAATACTGTACTTCCTAAAAGATTGTAGAAGGAGACCTTGTGAAATCTTTGTTTGTGTCTGTGTTTTTGTTGCCAGTAATACACTGTAATCTTTACATTTCACATGTATTGCTGGTAGACTGGGATATGAAACCTATGTCAGAGTTATTTTTTTTATGAAAGTAAAACCAAAATCAGCTTATTTTAGTCTTGTCCTTTTATATTATTTTGGAAGTATAGGATTTGGGGGAAATATCAATATAAATTTTTGTTATTATTGTTTTGTAAGTTGAGACTAATGTAATTTTAAAATGTTTTCCTTTCTCGCATTCATTTCATTTTCTTTTCGGTTAGTCCCTTTATTAATCTGGGGAATGACACCGCGGAATGAACTGCCAACTTATCCAGCATATGTTTTAAGCAACGATTGCCCTTCCAGCTGCAACCAAGTACTGGGAAACATCCATACACACTCGTTCACACTCATACACTACAGACAATTTAGCCTACCCAATTCACCTGTACCGCATGCCTTTGGACTGTGGAGGAAACCGGAGCAAATCCACGCGAATGCAAGCAAACGCACGCGAACGCAGGGAGAACATGCAAACTCCACACACAAATGCCAACTGACCCAGCCTAGGTTCGAACCAGTGACCTTCTAGCTGTGAGGCGACAGCACTACCTACTGCGCCACTGTGTCGCCATTTTTGCTTTCTTTTTTTTTTTTTTTTTTGGTGAATCTACTTTTAAAGCAATATCTAGTGCACATCTATTGGAAACATCTAGTGTGTTTTATTTGTAGTAAAAAATAATACATTTTAGAATGCATCAAAAAAGAAAAAAAAAAAGAAAAGAAAAAATAGATAATTTTACCCTCTCTTTAAAACATTATATGGTGATCAGCAGTAAATGCACACTTTAAGTCTGAATAGTTTTTCATATTTAAATAATATCTGGGGACTGCAATGACATACAATATTTTGAGTTCATAAAATACCACCAGAGCTCACAGTATTGATAAGAGGTGAGAGAGAGTTTTTGATTAACGGGTTGTTTCGTGTTATTTTATTGACGGTAATTAACTTGTGTAACCTGTTAAGCGAATCTGCAAAGAAACATTGCAGAATAAGCATGCATGTATGCAAACTGATTTCATACGTGTGTTTGAAGAGTTTAAAATGTGAATATTTGTAGTTATAGAAGGAAAACTGTGTGAGATGAATGGATGTTAAAAGTAGTTGTGTTGAGCCAAAATGGTGACGAGTGTGGAGTTAAGCCTCAGTCAGATCTCACAAATTTGTCACAATTTTGGCATGATTTCCTTGACATAGGGTGTTGTGGGGATTCATCAAAAACACATAGGTGATTGGCACCTAGCACCTGGTAAGTGCATCAACACATAGCATCCAGATGTTCACGGCGACCCGAGTTCGATTCCCGGGGTCCTTTGCCAATCCTTCCCCTATATCTGCTCCCCACACTATCCTGTCTGTCAATCTCCACTGTCCTATCAATAAAAGGTGAAAACCCCTAAAAAATATTATTATAAAAACAAAAAAACAAAAACAAATAGGTGTTGTGAAACAAGACTTGATTGTTTCTCCTCTCTTTATGATGAGTTCCATCACGTGGGTGACACTGAGCAATAAGAAGTACATAATTTCTCTGTTATATCTGCAGGTGATGTCGTTAATCTGTGGGTCAGGTAATCTGCTGGTTATGCAAACTTTAACTACATTTTCTAATATATTAAGGTGTTTTTAGCAATTTGATCTGACAGACTGGCACAAATGTGCAGACATCCTAATTCTCACAATGAGTTTCTGAGTTCTCTCAGCCTTTTGGCAAAGTTCGTTCTTCACTTTAGTGCTAATAATACATTGTAAAAACCATTACCTCAGAAACACTACAGTGTTTACTTTAAATATTATAGCGGAATAGAAGCCTGTCTATTCAAATTACTTGATTAAACTAATTAAATTTACCCTCACCGGCAATAGATGATTTTTGTCATTAACAGTTTAATATAGGCTAACTATTCAGTGAAAACAGTTTAATATACTGTCGGTTTCTTTGAAACTGATTATTTTACTCATTTTATTTAGTCTAGATTTTATTTTAATAAACCTTTTTGTGTTTTGGCACTGAAACTTTTCACATCAAATGTTATTCATTAATCTTTTTTTATCTAGTAGATAACTGACCAACAAATAAATACTTTAAAATTAAGATACAAAACATACCAAACAAAATAACCTTTTTTTTTTTTAAGAAAAATATAAGAATTATATTTTTGTTTGTGCCTGTCCACTACTCAACTCTGCTGTGATAATTAGTTTTACTCTGGAAAATAGGGATTTAATTAATGCTTCACTGTAATTTGATGTATCCCAAACTTCTGTCATATATTTGTTTTTTGTTTTAATATGTCCTTATATTTTGTCTTGAGCATCTGATTTTTTCTTGGTGCTGATGTGCTTTCATTATCTCCATTTCACTTGCGAGGCAGTGTTTAATAAGCAACCCATGGCTGGAAAATATACATTTGGATCTAAAAGAAAATATCTTAATAATATTAAAAAGATAATAAGGTTAATCCGATTAATGTAATGAATGCCCTTAAATTATGTAGCCTAGCATGCATGTTTGTTGAGATTGAAAAAGCATAAAAATATGGAAATTTATTAAGATAAAATTGAATTGAAATAGCAACACTGCTCTGAGAAACAACGCTTATCATAGACATTATGGAATGACTGATAGTGAAGGAAAAT